CTCACCGGCCTACCCCAGTGCAAACTCTCCCCGCTTCAGACCATCCTGAACTCAGCGGCCAGACTCATCCACCTCACCAGCCGCTCCACCTCTGCCACCCCCCTCTGCCTCTCCCTCCACTGGCTCCCCATTGCCCAACGCATTAAATTCAAACTGCTCACTCTGACCTATAAGGCCATTCACAACACTGCCCCTAACTACCTCACCGACCTGATTCCCAGGTACCACCCTACCCGTACCCTTCGCTCTTCACAGGACCTCCTTCTATCTTGCTCCCTGGTCTCCTCCTCCCACGCACGACTGCAAGACTTCTCCAGGTCCTCCCCCATCCTCTGGAACTCACTACCCCCAATCCATCAGACTGTCACCTTCCCTCCTCACCTTCAGGCGCTCCCTGAAAACCCACCTCTTCAGGGAAGCCTACCCCACCCTCACCTAACAGCCGCTGCCCTTCCCTCCTCCTACCACTCCATCCCCCACAGCCATTTCCTCCTGTACCTCTACCCCTCCCTCCTAGATTGTAAGCTCGAAAGAGTAGGGCCCTCTTACCCCTTGTATGCTGTTTGTTGTTACTGTACTGTTTCATGTATTGTCCCCCCTCTCTATTGTACAGCGCTGAGCAAACCCTTTGGCGCTATATAAACTCGATAAAATAAATAAAATATAGGTGTTGTTGGGGCTTATAAATGTTGCAGCTACCTTCCATCTAACAATTTCCATAGAGCTAAGCATTATACCCACAATAACTTGTTTAGATGTGACTACAAGTGAAGAGATTGAACAAAATACATATGTGGAAGAAAGTACTGTCTGCACAATTATTAATTTTAAAAAATCCACAATAATTTGGAGTATCATTTATTTTTAAATTCAATGTTCTGTCACATGACGATTTTACATATATTTGTAGTGTTATCTCCCATGCACACAGGACCTTGTCTCATTTATTTTGCTTTGATTCTGTTATTTATAGGATGTTGATGAAAAAGTTAAAGAGTTCCTTGACACTAATCCCGTAATGTCTGAATTCCGAAGTCAACTCAATTATTACTCAGTAAGTAAAGTGCATTTCTGTTGCCCTCAAATAGATATTTCAGTCTTTATGCAAATACTGTACTTGGGTTGTATCAATTATTTTATTTTACAGCAATTGGAATCCCAAATCAGCGAGCTTCCAGGTCACTGCATTGTAGGCTCTGTTGACTTCTCAACTGATTGTCTGAAAATGGCTTTGGTACAGGAATGTCGTCGGTGGAAGAGAGCCATTGGTTCTGCTTTGAATAAAAAAGCAGCTATGGATATGGATGAGATTTATTCTTTTATTGATAATCTCAGTAAGAGACTGAATAGACCTATTAATGATCTTGATGATGTGCGTGGAGCTATGGATGCATTGAAAGAAATCAGAGAGTCAGAAATTAAGATTGACATGATGATTGGACCTATTGAGGAATCTCATAGTCTTCTGGTAAAATATGAGCTACTGTTTCAAGATGGCAATGCAGAGCGTGTAGACGGATTAGCTTACGCCTGGAAGAATTTAAACACACAGGTAAACTTAGTTCTTGATGTGTGTGAATCATGAAAATCACAATCATATGGTCTGGGTTTTAATGTGCCTTTTTTCTAGGTTGTGCAAACCCAGAATTTACTCATCAAAGTGCAACCAGAGATGAAGACAGATTTGCTTGATGGTGTGAAAAAGTTTCAGATTGATGCTAATGCGTTTTTATAAAGACTATGACTTTTTGTAAGTATAGTTTCTAAATGTTAATTGTGTTGTGATTGTATACTTCTGGATCACCACACAATTGAGTGGTAAAATGTCTGTGTGTTAAATCTTTTTTTTCTTGATTGAAGTTAGTGGTTTTTGATTAGCTAACGTTCATGTCCGTTCTTGTGTTTTTATGGAGGCTTAAATTTTTGTATAAACTAAAAAAAAAAGAATAATTCCCATGCTAATATTTAAATTAATGGCATTGGTCAGAGCTAGATCCATCGTTAGCCTAGAGCAGGGGTCAGCAACCAGTAGGTCGTGGCCAGGTGACTGGTAGATCACAGTCTGGGCTTGCTGACCCGCCATCCCAGAACATCAGAGTACAATGCAGGGGGGCTACTTGGAAAGTTGGAGCTGTAGTAGGGAGCAAGAGCAGCATAAGCTGATGTCTCCTTTGTGGTGCTGACTCCTGTCCAATGCAGAGTGATACCAACTAAACTCCACCTCTTATCCTGCTAGCGGTCTCTAGAGTGGTGCCAGCAGCAGGAAAGAGCAGATCTTCAGGTCAGCGTGAAGGAATACACTGGGCATAATAGTAAAGGGCTGCTTTCACAGTGATGTGCTACAGTTTATCCACACTGCTAGTGCAGTGTGCCTGCAGCTTTCCCGCGGGTTTGCTGTGCTTAGTTATAGACTTTTGTTATATCCTGCGGGTTTAGTGCATAATTTGAAAGCACACCAAAACTCCTGAGGATGGAGTTTTGGTGTGTTGCATATAATAAAACCCTATGGCAAAGTGCAGATGACCCAGGAAAGTCACAGGTGCACTGTGCTACACCTATGGTGCAGGTAAACCTCAGCCCATTAGTGTGAAAGCAGCCTTTAAGGGGGAGGTTCAGTTACATTTTTTCCATTTGGGAGGTGGTAAAACCTCATAGTTAAGACATGTTTTTACCACCCACCTGCCCCAACCACACACCCCTTTAGCTGCAGTGGCCAGGGGTGTACACATGTCACAGCCACAGCAGGAGTTATATGCCTTGTCATGGATGGTGGGTGTAGCACCTGCCAAGTATGACCCATTCAAGTGAATAAGGCCACTCTGCAAGTGCCCTGCAACCTTGTGCAGTGCAGCAAACAAAGGATTAAAGCAGTGTTGCTTTCTTACCACCTGCTTTAACCCCTTGGACCCCGCAGAAGGCATACAGTTGCAGAGAGCTTGCAGAGTGGCCCCATTTACTTGAATGGGTTGCAATTGGCAGACGTAGCACCCACCAAAACAGCTTTAATTCCTGTTGCGCATGTGTACACCTTTGGCTGCTGCCTCAGCAGCTAAAGGGGGTAAGGATTGGGGCAGTAAAACTGTGACTCAAAAGCAGGGTCTTACCACCCATCAACTTTACATGTGAACAAGCCCTAAGGGTGCCGCCACCGAGTGCAACTAAGGCCTCATTCACAAGTGCAGCAGGCACTGCTGCTCTACTACAAAGCGATCCAAGTGTGTTTGACAGGTGGTGAGGAGGCGATACTTTGCCTCATCACCACTTGATTTATTATTATTTTATTATTTTACAGGATTTATATGGCGCCAACAGTTTGCTCAGCGCTTTACAATATAATGAGAGACAAATACAACAACAATACAGTTCAATACAAGAAGGATAGGAGGGCCCTGCTCCTCGGAGCTTACAATCTAGGAGATAAACCAATTATTGCTGTGCAATGCACACGATTGTGACACAGTAGTACGGCAATTCGAGATTTAAATCAGATGCAAGGAGGCAACACTGTGCCCGGTGATCTTTGACTTCTCCCATGTTGTTCAGGTAGATCTCCACCTCTTTAAGTTTGCCTACCCCTTGCCTAGAATGTCAGCTATACAGTAAGTCTGGTTAATTTGTAAATGTTCAGTTTAACTAAGCTTGCGATGGGTTAAAATTCTGCTGAAAACATTCTTAGAAGCTATTTTTCATTAGGAGTTTGCAGGACAAAATGTTCATTTAGCAATTTCCAACAATACAGAGGACATTTCTTAAAATGATAGATCATTTTTATGAGGTTTTTATGTAAATGTTTGTTTTCAGTTTTTCCTACGTATTATGGTTAGTGATATATACTGTTGAATTCAGTGTCAATGGAGCATTTAATTACACCATTTTCCTCCCATGCATAAACCTATTGTTATACCCTTATCTAAAGTCAGAAAACTACCAGACCAAGTTGAGTTGAACTAGTTATTTCCCATCATTTCACACATACTGTATATCTCAAGCAAACAGAGAAAACATAATCCCAGTGCTGTGTCTGACTACACTCATTTAATGTTGCGTGATATTCATGTTACTAATACTACAAAGTCTGCTTTGATCCTTCAGTTGTTCAGTTCTCAATTTTATGTGACCATAAATCAGTTCTACAATAAGTTGTACTGTGTATCATTACACAATGTGTGTTTTGCCTAGAACAGTGATGGTCATCGTGAAAAATTATAGAGGACCTGAAGTGTGGCCCCCAAAACTATGAGAAGGTTGTAGAATAGCAGTGCATTTTTAAGTGCTCAGGTGCATTGCATCAAGTTAGGCTGCCCATTAAACATGAATGGGCTGTAACAAACCTCTTGCCTAAAAATTTTGGTTCTGCTGCATTTTTTACAGGGCATTTCAATGCACACTGCAGAGAAAGTGGGAGTAAGAAAAGCCCCATCATTGGTGTCAGTGGCAGAAATGGGAGTAACACCCAACGTTGGTGTCAGGGATGCAGTTGTAACCTCCAATCTTGGTGCCAGTGGCAGCAGAATTAACCCCCAGCAAGCATTAGTTTCAGTGGAATTACTATTACCCCCCATATTGGTGGGCAGTAATATTGCTGTTAATCCCCAACTGCACTGATGGTCAGTTGCAGTGCTATCTAACATCTTTATACCCTCTCCCCCCATCCCAGTTGGTAGTTAGTGTCAGTGCTTTCTAACCTCCATTAATACGTATAACCCTACTCTTCTAACCCCATCCCCAAGTGAAATGTTACCCCTCAGCATTGGTGTTCACTTACCTGATAAACACTCTACCACCCCACTCTCTCTCTAAAGCCACAGTTATTGAGGCCAGAGATCACTCTGCTCACAATAGAGTCTTTCTTTCAGTGCCTGGTGCTGGAGAGCGTTCTGGCGGCTGGTGCTCTATTGCCCTCTGGGGCTCAATAAGTGGCAGACTGCATGCAGAGGGCTGACAGGCCACATGTTGGACACCACTGGCTTGGAACCTAATTGTCTTAGCAAAGTGAAAATTATATCACATATTTTCACAGGGGACCTGGTGTTGAAGGAATACCTCCCAGAGAAGCAAGCGACAGACTTCAAGTTTACCAGGCCAAGTTTGATGAACTTTGGAGGAAATATGTTACTTTTTCTGGAGGAGAAGAACTTTTTGGCCTGCCAATAACAGGTAGTATTTTAATACATTATAACCTAATCTAATCCAAGAACAGCAATGTTTAAACACAGTGCAAATGCGATATCAGTAGCAAAATTCTTGATAAAAAATAATTTTGTTGAATTTCAGAATACTCTGAGCTGCAAAGGATTAAACGAGAACTCTCATTACTTCAGAAACTCTATGGCCTTTATAATGCTGTTATAGATAGCATTAATGGATATTATGAAATCCTCTGGACTGATCTGGATATTGAAAAAATCAATAATGAGCTGCTAGACTTCCAAAATAGGTTTGTATTGTCTTGTTCTATGAATTATAACGTAGAATCACTATCATACTCAGCTACTCTATACCCCAGATACCACTATTATTTCTCCATTAATGAAATTTGCAAAAGGTAATCATCAAATACTTACTTTAGTTTTCTGGTGATAGTTTTCTAATACTGGACTGCATCATCACGGCCAATAAATTTAGGGATTTCTGTGCAGCACTTCTTTCAATGTCAGTCAATATGGAACAATTTAGTAGCACCCTTTGAAAATTCAGTATAATCTGCGATATCTGGTGTGATGAACGCAGTGCCTGACTCCTGCCCCTTCTCACCAACTTGAGACAAAGGACTGGCCAATCTCATACCACGCTGTCACGTACGTAACAATGCCACTCTCAGCTGCACCTGGCACAAAGATATTCCAGCTCGTGGGACCACAACCTAGGTGCTGCAGCCTGAGAGCCATTGTCACTGGGTTAAATTAACTAAGTGTGGGAACTAGCACCAAGGGTAGAGCTTTGACAACACACAACCACACACTGTCTTCTTTTTAAGGGCTGTTTTTGCCCAATTTTATTTAAAAGAAAGTTCCATATAACAGGTTTCCCACACAGGGGTATCCACCATCAATACAAACAAAAATATTTAGCCTCCTGGCTCTCATTAGCAGCACCGCTGCTCAGGCCTCATGCCTCGGTCCTCTTGACCCTTTACATACAACCCACCCTGTTTAGCGCCCTTTCTCAGCACTCCTGCTTCTCTAGCCCACAGGCTTGGGCCCTGTCTGCTCTCAGATTATACTGTGCCAACATGCACACTTGTGGCTGCTCCCTTGCACCCACATGGACTCCTCTGGAGGGTGGAGCCCAGAACCCTGGTCCTGACTCTAGAAGAGAGCCACACATACCTGACCAATCAGTCTCCTGGCCATACCCAAAACATGGTCCCAGGACTGGAGATTTCATTCCTCCCAAATATCTATGATCTCAAGACTCCAGGTCCCAAAATGGACTTTACAAATAAATGAGGAAGTGAAAAGCCACTTTCCTCTGCATCAAACAAGTACCCTGGAGCCCCTCAACCTGCCTTGTTGAGAATCCCAGGTGAAATATCCTTTTTATATTGTGACAGATCACCACACTGTTACTAATCCCCCCCCCCCCTTTGTTTCGTCCTGGAGGGTGAAACACACAACTTACAGCTTTTGGCACCTCTGTGCCAGCTCTCACTTACAGGGGTCCAATCCGGTCTGACCATACCTTTCCTAAATTGTGGATTGGTTTATGAAGAGGTCTGTGTGTCTGATCAATGGATCGATAACAAGGTCCTGGCATCAGTTAACAGTTTTGTATTGCACCAGAAGCTTCCTGGGGGGATGAAGAGGAGGGAACCACTGCTGCTATTCACCAACTTGTGCTACAAATGGCCGAATATGAACATCCTTGCCCTTTCACACAGCTTTGTGAGGGCTCAATACACATTACCATTACAGCTGGTAGCAAAGTAGGGACTTAAACAGTATCTCTGATTATATTTAAACAATTATATCCAAAATTTCTACACAAGCCTTTTTGTAATTCATTGTTAATTAAAATGACATGTTAAGTTCGGCCTGTAGCCATCTTTGATTTCCAAAAAAAGCCCAAAATTTAAACAAGGAACATTTGTAAAAGGGTGTACTGTTCTTCATTAGTGTATGGCAATACATCCAGAAATGCCATTTTCTTTTCATCATATCACAGTCACCCGGCACCCAGGGAGTAGAACGTAGCTGCAGGAAGTATGAAGAGAGTAGAATTCACGTTTGATTTTTACTATAAATGACAGCAGATAGTCATCTGCCATTAAGTTTTAAAAAAAAATCCTTGTATTCTATGTAAATGACTAGGATATGGCTATTTGTCTTCTTAAAACGACAACATAGAAAAATTCCCAGCTCAGCTTACCAACCAGCCTGCAACCAACCAAATTATCTTGTCTAACAGTTCACGTTGAAAACAAGGGTTTAGTTTACACACATTTGCAAACACATACATAAGTTGCAGAGCCTCTTCATGGCACCCTATTATTCTGCATTCCTAACACTATACATTTTGAGAGCCTCCATAGTACAAGCACGTGTATAATAATGGATAGATTGAGGGCAGGTAAGCCAGTCGTCTTAGCAAAGGTGTGTGTTGATAGACTTTTGTTGGGGTCCAATTTTGTTTTTCTACCTATACAAGGCATTAGTAATGGAAAAGCAACATGAAGCAGGTTGATGCAGCATTGAAGGATGTTAAAAGCAGGTATGAAGAAAGTTGATTACAGGTCAAATGCACCTATGAGTAAAGCATGGGCGGATCTAGGGGGGTGCTGCGGTGTCTGCACCCGCCCAGAATTCAGTTGTGCCCCCCCCAGACTGGCTTTCTCAGACGTTGTGCCTGGCTGATGAGCCCCTCTCCCCATCCCTACACTCAGGGCAAGAAGAAGCAAAGGGCAGCGCGTTACATTGTAGTGAAGGTGACAGGACAAATGACAGCGGCAGAAAGGAGGTGCGAGCCATGCTGTGCTCTCCCATCCTGTCACAAGAGCGCTCCTCTATTCCTCTATACAGCAGATGAGAAGGGATCGCTCATACATCGGGCTATACACTGACTGTACCCACCCCCTACCCCCGCGTTCTACTGCGGGGAGATAGTTTGCAGGTAAGGAAATAGTGTATGAATGATCTGATGTAAGAGCAATCCTTTCTCATCTGCTGTATAGAGGAATAGAGGAGCGCTCTTGTGACAGGGAGGGAGAGCACAACACAGCTCGCACCTCCTCACAGCTCCTGGAGGGTTGGGGAGTGGACCTCATGGCAGGGGAATTGTATTCAATGTGGGGGGGGGTTTATGCTAGAATGGGATATTGGGGGATTTGGGCTAAGAGAGGTATTTGAGCTTGGAGGGGGAATTTGTGCTGGAAGTTGGTATGGGGGGGGGGGGGGGGGTTGGTTTCTGCTAGGAGGGGGGGGGGGGTTGGAGAGAGTTATGGATTTGTGGTAGAGGATTTGTTCTGCGAGGGGGAATTTTGATAGAGGACGTGTTCTGAGGGCAATTGATTTGGGGGGGTGAGGATTTTTGGCTGGGAGGGGGTATCAGGGGGAATTGGTCTAAGAGGGGGAATAGGGGGTCTAGAGCTAGGAGGGGTGGGGATTCAGGCTAAGAGGGGGCATTTGAGTAGGAGGGGAATTTTGGGGGGGGGGGAGCTGGGAAGAGGTTTTGCCTTAAAGATTTTTGCTAGGATGGGAAATTTGAGGAGAAAGAGAGATGTGTGTGGGGAGTGATTTTTTTGTGGGTGGGGTAGATTAGTGCTGGGGGGACATTGGGGGGATTTAAGCTAAGAGGGGGGATTGGGGTGCTGAGGGGAGGATGTAGTGAAAGGAGGAATTTTTGCACTTTTGTTTGGGGAGAATTATAGCTTTCAGAGGGAATTTTTGCTTTGGCAGTGAGCGTGCTGATAAGTGCTGTTTTTTTTTATGCTGAGACATGATGCTTACACATGGGGGGGGCGCAGCTTGTCATCTTCACCATAAGTGCTAGATAACCTTTACAGACACAGCCTCCATCTACACATAGCATAGCTGGCTGCTATATTACAGTTCTAACCTATGAAATTCCCTGATTAGAATGGCAGTGTAGCTGTAATAGCAAGCCAGACGTGACCCTGTCCTTCCTTTCTGCTTTTCTCTGTTCTTTTACTTGCTAACCCCCTGTACCCTGCCCTGCTGACCCCTATCCTGCCCTACATCTCATTCTCTGCCCTGCTGACCCACTGCACACTGCCCTGCTGCTTCCTATACACTGCTTTGATAACCACCTGTACGTTGCCCTACAAACTGCTGACACTATCCTCTGCCCCCCTGACATTTTTTACTGCACCTGCACAGCAGAAAGGCTATATCCGGCCCTGGAGTAAACGGTGAATAATCTCAGAAGCATCTGAAACGGATGTACGTCAATTTCAAACAGACTGCATTTAAAAGCAAGTTGCATTTGCCCATCGACACAAGACTGTGGCCATATGACACAGGCTTCTAAACTTCAAAAGCACATCATTAATAACACAGTCCAACAAAAAATATCTTTTTTCTTGTTGCTTTGCTTTTTATACCTGTCCTTGGGGTTATTTGGGACTCCTGATTCAGAAAATTGCATTGGCTAGACTGCATCAGCTCTAATTTCTTAGATATGTTTGAGTTTTTATATAATTTTTTTAGTCAGCTTTTGAAAAGATCTTGCTAATTAACTTGTTCTGTTACTAGTTTGTGTTTTTGCCCACAAGTTAGCAGATATAGTGAGAGTGTTTACATACTTCCAACTGTAATTTTACATTGGAAACACTGGATTCTAAAGTGTAGGTTATTAACTGTATTATAGTTATTATCCTACAGAAGGGTGTGTGTGTGTATTGCCACTCATATAGTTTCATTTTTGCAGAATGTGCACCGTAGAGGTTATGGCTACAATTTTTTTGTGTTTCATTCATGCTACAAGGAGACTAAGTAAAATACTACATTAAAATATCCTGATTTTGATTAGTAACCAGAGAGAAGAGTGGTGTATGGCAGTTATGCTATAAACTAGAGCTGATAGGGGACAATTTCCAGTTTTGGAATCAGCAGGTCAAATATACCAGGGGAACAGGTCTAACATTCGAGGTGCCAAAACAGGGGCGGACTGAAAACTCATGGGGCCCCGGGCAATAGGGGATCATGGGGCCCCTGTGTCCTTGCCCAAACTCAGAAAAGCCTATGAAAAAGGTACCAGGGGCATCTCATGGGGCCCTCTACTGACCCCGGTTCCTCAGGCAGTGCCCGAGTTTCCAAATGATCAGTCCGCCCCTGTGCCAAAATGTGTCTTGGCCTATATAAATGCTTTTTTATTTAGTAACACTCTGCATTAGTTTAACATGAAATCTAGCAAAAATATGAAATAGATAAAGAGAGCAATGTCAGAAAACAGTATAAAGAAATGGTAAAACATACCCAAAATCTGATATTAAATGTGTTGAAATAAAGAAGCAATTAAACCGTTTTATGAATTTATTTTTTCTGTTTCTGTCATTGAAAACAAGAGAATGACTTATTAACTGGTCAAATGTATCTAAAACATAAGTTTGCCTGGATTAACTTTATCTTCTGTGATAACAAAAAGCTAAAATATTATTTTTTTTTTGTTTTCTTTTACAATTTTTACAAAGGATTTGACTAAAGTTTGGAAAAAATGAGTAGGTTTGTTATAGCAGTTTAAGTAGAAAATATTGTATGACAATTGTGTAATAAAAAAAACAGCAAACATTACAGTATATAATAGTATAGACAACATTATTTGTACACAGTATTTACAATTTTTTTTTAAATTTACAATTCGACACCCTGCATACATTTTGTAACCAAGCATTGGAACAGCTAGAGAACTCGTTAATTGTTTGACGATTTCTGGCTAGTGATTAAGCTGCTGCTCTAGCTGCTTAAAATATATGAATACACACAAATCAACACTATATATACCTTAGCTGCTGCATTGTGTAAAATAAGTATCCTCAAAAGTAGTTTTGCTACACGCTCAGTAGGCTGCAAAGATTAATCATTCTGCAACAAAATCATTGGAATTGCTATAAAATAACTGTTTCATTGACAGAAATTCTTTTTTAATGGTAGCAAAACCACAAATCCATATGCTCCCACAAATCCATATGCTCATCCGGGCACTTCAATTATTTCTCACTGTTTAAAGTAGAACTCTGACCTCATTAAGTGCTGCAGAACATTAAAAAAATGTTCTGCAGCACTTAAAGTAGAATTTCTGAAAATATCGAACTACTCTTAAAAATGCTCCTTCCCCGCTCCTACAGCTGGGTTTACCAAAGCGTGCTGTGGATTGGTTGAAGCTTAATTTCTGCATGCGTTTTTATGAATGCGCATCAAAGTCTTGCATGCTGCATCTTTAATCCACTTTCAGAAAATTGAAGTCAAAAGGGGTGCACCTAAAACTGCGTTTAAAATGCAATTACAGTCGTGATGCACCCAATGGAGCACACTGGTGCGAATCTGGCCTAACACCTATTCTGACTAAACTATGTGAAAAAGATCTGTATACTTGGCTTTGCTCAGTCTGCTCCGGTCTGCTTCCCCTCTGTCAGCCATGGGCGCTGCAGGGGAGAGGATAAAGCGCCGACAATGGATGAGACATGGGAACCTATGGGTTACATCACTGCTCCCAGGAGTTCCAGGCGTTGTCGAGTGCTCCCTCCTCTCTCCTGCAGATGGTGCTGGCTGACACAGTGGAGATCCTTTGACCAGACCAGAGCACCCTGAAAATAGGTAAGTGTGCAGATTTTTTCTTACAAAGGTTAGTTAGAATAAGTGGGGGAGGGAGCAGCTAATTATTTTGTAGCGTTAAGTACATTTATGGAATTTTGTTCATGATAACAATAAAGGTAGAAAATAGATCCCCTGCAGCCAGCAACAATAGCCCCCCCCCCCAGCAACAATAGACCCCCTAGCAAAAATAGATTCCCCAGCAACAATAGACCTTCCAGCAACAGTAGGTTCTCCCAATAACAATCTATTGCTGGGGGGGGGGGGGTCATTTGTTGCTAGGGAGTATACTCCCTAGCAACAAATGACTCCCCCAGCAACATCAGATCCACCCCAGCAGTAATAGCTCACCCCCCCAGAAACACGGCACCCTCCCCCAGCAGCAATAGATCCCTCGTTAACCAAAATCAATAGACTCTACCAGCAGCCAGCAACAGTAGCCCCCCCTTCCCCCAGAAAAAACTTCCAGTCTGTCAGTCAGTGTGGGCAGGGGTAGTAGCTACAGAGTGGGACACAGGCAGCCAAGCAGACTCAGGACAGAACAGTGGTTTCCTCCTTTGCAGGCAAATGGCATATCACTCCATTGGGGACTAACTGAGCTGGACTGGAACTCTAAAATAAGTTGTGGCAAATACTGTTAAGATAAATCTGCTCCCTGACTGTACTTGAGTAGTCCCACTGCCTGGCATCTGCTAATGCACCTTGTGCCAGCTAGGGATTAATTAATTAAACATTATTAATATATTATAGAAGCCTTTATGGCAGCTGTTCTTTGGGGTTGCTAGAAGACATTTTAGGGTGCCAGCCTACATGCCTAAGCACCCCTTGTCAGTACATTCAGTGCTGGAGGTGCCAATACCACGTATCACCATGTTCCCCTTGAAATTAAGCCTTGAATTTAGGGTATGTTTTCAAAATGGTTAAATTGAGTTGGGTTGCTTTTTCTTGTATTTCTATCTTGCTTTTTGGGAAGACATATTTTGTATTTATTAGTGCACAGAGTATTGGATTATTCTTGTGTACTGATTAGTTCAATGAAGCAGTATTGCGTTGTAGTTTGACAAGTACAACATTTTTATGCACTATTGCTAGTCTGTTGTGTTTGCGTGTCTAAAAGAATGCTTACATAACTTGTATTACCTCACTACTTTTCCTTTAGAATTCGCAAGCTGCCCAAAGCACTAAAAGAGTGGCAAGCATTCAATGACTTGAAGACGAAGATTGACGATTTCAGTGAGAGTTGTCCTCTGCTGGAAATGATGTCAAATAAAGTAAGACTATTATTTTTGGATTAAATGCTTGAGTTTTAAAACTTCAATCTTCTGAACAGTAATAGTTCTGTTAGAGTCTTGTGAATTCATTAATTTCTTGGACTTCAATGCTGAGACCTTTTAGGTGTACATGCCCACCTTGGGGGGATTCCTGCTGCTGCTGCATTTTCTATAACATAAAACACATTGAATGTCCAGCAGTAAGGACTCCTTTGAATCCTATGTGGCAGGTCTGTTACTGTAGACCTGAGAAGGGGTGTAACTCTCCAACATCTGGAATATTTATTTTAAGAGGGCAGTGCCATTAATTGTATTCAAGTAGATGAATTGGGCCATGCTAGTCTATTTACTTTTATATGTACAAAATTTTATTTATTTCACATACTTATATAGCACCGTCAATTTATGCAGTGCTTTACATATATAGTGGGGCAAAAAAGTATTTAGTCAGCCACCAATTGTGCAAGTTCTCCCACTTAAAAAGATGAGAGAGGCCTGTAATTGGAATCATAGGTAGACCTCAACTATGAGAGACAAAATGAGAAACAAAATCCAGACAATCACATTGGCTGATTTGGAAAGAATTTATTTGCAAATTATGGTGGAAAATAAGTATTTGGTCAATTACAAACAAGCAAGATTTCTGGCTCTCACAGACCTGTACCTTCTTCTTTAAGAGGTTCCTCTATCCTGCACACATTACCTGTATCAATGGCACCTGTTTGAACTTGTTATCAGTATAAAAGACACCTGTCCACAACCTCAAACAGTCACACTCCAAACTCCACTATGGTGAAGACCAAAGAACTGTCAAAGAACACCAAAAACAAAACTGTAGACCTGCACCAGGCTGGGAAGACTAAATCGGCAATAGGCAAGCAGCTTGGTGTGAACAAATCAACTGTGGGTGCAATAATTAGAAAATAGAAGACATACAAGACCACTGATAATCTCCCTCGATCTGGGGCTCCGCGCAAGATCTCACCCCGTGGGGTCAAAATGATCACAAGAATGGTGAGCAAAAAATCCCAGGACCACACGGGGGGACCCAGTGAATGACCTGCAGGGAGCTGGGACCAACGTAACAAAGGCTACCATCAGTAACACACTACGCTGCCAGGGACTCAGATCCTGCAGTGCCAGACGTGTCCCCCTGCTTAAGCCAGTACATGTCGGGCCCATCTGAAGTTTGCTAGAGAGCATTTGGATGATCCAGAAGAGGATTGGGAGAATGTCATATGGTCAGATGAAACCAAAATAGAACTGTTTGGTAGAAACACAACTCGTCGTGTTTGGAGGAGAGAGAATGCTGAGCTGCATCCAAAGAACACCATACCTACTGTGAAGCATGGGGGTGGCAACATCATGCTTTGGGGCTGTTTCTCCGCAAAGGGACCAGGACGACTGATCCATGTACAGGACAGAATGAATGGGGCCATGTATCGTATGATTTTGAGTGCAAACCTCCTTCCATCAGCAAGGGCATTGAAGATGAAACGTGGCTGGGTCTTCCAACATGACAATGATCCCAAACATACAGCCCGGGCAACAAAGGAGTGGCTTCGTAAGAAGCATTTCAAGGTCCTGGAGTGGCCTAGCCAGTCTCCAGATCTCAACCCCATAGAAAACCTTTGGAGGGAGTTGAAAGTCCGTGTTGCCCAGCGACAGCCCCAAAACATCACTGCTCTAGAGGAGATCTGCATTGAGGAATGGGCCAACATACCAGCAACAGTGTGTGCCAACCTTGTGAAGACTTACAGGAAACGTTTGACCTCTGTCATTGCCAACAAAGGATATATAACAAAGTATTGAGATGAACTTTTGATATTGACCAAATACTTATTTTCCACCATAATTTGCAAATAAATTCTTTCCAAATCAGCCAATGTGATTGTCTGGATTTTTTTTCTCATTTTGTCTCTCATAGTTGCGGTCTACCTATGATGCCAATTACAGGCCTCTCTCATCTTTTTAAGTGGGAGAACTTGCACAATTGGTGGCTGACTAAATACTTTTTTGCCCCACTGTATATTTGTACATTCACATCAGTCCCTAACCCTCAAGGGGCATACAATCTAAGGTCCCTAACATTCATACATACATGTACTAGGGCAGGGCTTAAAATTTCAAGTCTAGACCTACTAGCCAGGCAAAAACCTTACTCTCCACCAGTTGCACCACCAAACCTTGCCCAGGTCCACCTCCAACCCTGCCCCCAGCCCTGCCCCCAACCACGCCCCCTTAAAGTCTATGAAATTACATTTTTCTTTAGAATAAAGAGTCCAAAATATAAAAAACAGCAATTATAACATAGCTTTATTGTGTCAATTTAAACATAACAGCAATAGCTTAATAGAGTCTAGAGGGCAAGTGGTTAACATAAAACAATGTAAACATAAAATTAAAATAAGTGTCCCCATCAGAGTCCTCCTTTACATCAGGTGTCCCCATCAGAGTCCCCCTTTAAATAAGGTGTTCCCATCAGAGTCCCCCTTTACATCAGGTATCCCCATCAGAGTCCCCCTTTATATAAGGTGTTCCCATCAGAGTCCCCCTTTACATCAGGTGTCCCCATCAGAGTCCCCCTTTATATAAGGTGTTCCCATCAGAGTCCCCCTTTACATCAGGTGTCCCCATCAGAGTCCCCCTTCATATAAGGTGTTCTCATCAAAGCCCCCCTTTACACCAGGTGTCCTCACCCTTCCCCCTTTTACTCACAGATCTTCTCGTGATTACAGCTTCTCCTTCTTTCCCTCCTTCGGTCATGTGATAAGTCACATGACAAGGGGAGAGAGGAAGGACACTCTGCCTTCACTCCTTAGTGCCGGCTGTCTATTGCCCCCTGCAGGCAGGAGGGAGGAGAAAGCCTAGTCCTCCCTCCAGCAAGTGTCAGCAGCTGCTCCCTGTGACAGGAGTGAAACTGCAATCACTCCGGTCACTGAGGAGCGGCACCCGTAGTGTGCCCCCCTCAACACAGTGCTTGGGGCAGGTTGGTGCTGCTGATAGCACCCGCCCCCCCGCCCTCTGATGCGGCGCCTGGGACACACTTGCCCACATGTTATTTTCACTAGCCAAATGCGAGCAGGCGAGTGGAAATTTCAAGCCCTGTACTAGGGCCAATCCAATTAACCTACCAGCATGTCTTTGGAATGTGAGAGAAAACTGGAGTACCTGGAGGGAACCCACGCAGTTACAGGGAGAACATGCAAAGTTCAGTCAGGTGGTGCTATGGCTGGGATTCAAACCAATGACCCTAGTACTGCTAGGTGGAAGTGCTAACCATTTAGCCTCTGTGCTGCACTGTGCTACAGTATATATTTACATATATGTATTTCAACTATGTGTTTAGCTGTTTGACAGAAGTTCTGCAATACAGCAGCTTGTTCAATAATTAGCCAATAAATAGTTCAATGGTGCAGATTATTGTACTGCAAATCAAGTTGTTCTAGCCATTGCACTGTTTGGAATTGTTTGTCCAGTCTCCTATTCATATCTCTTGACCAAAAAGTGAAAATAAGTCTTTTTACACTGACTTTCACATCTGCTGTTTAAGGATTGCTAGAGATCTGTGACATGGGAAAGGAAGCAATATAGAGCTTTAAACAGCCTTTATGCATAGGTACTATAAGATATGATAGCTGGAGCAATGGCATGGTTTAAGTTGAAAAAAAAACATAATCTAGAGATCCCAGTTACATTTCCTGCATAAATGTCCTATATTACAGCTGCAGGCATCCTCCATGTGCACAGTTTAACACCATTGTGCATCTGAAAAATAACTTTTTATTCTTCTAAACCAGCAGGTAAAGTCCCATTTATTTTTTGTTTATTACAGGTACTTATATAGTGCCATCAATGTACGCAGCGCTTTACATATATAACTGTATATATTGTACATTAGTCCCTAACCCTCAAGGAGTGTATAATCTACAGCTCACATTCATACATACACATGCCAAGGCCATTTTAGACAGGAGCCAATTAACATACCAACATGTCTTTGGAGTGTGGGAGGAAAGCGGAGTACATGGAGTAAACCCACGCAGGCACAGGGAGAACATGCAAACTGCAGGCAGGTGGTGCCATGGTTGGGATTTGAACCAACAACCCTAGTGCTGCCAAAGTGCTAATTTCTCTTCCTATATGGCTATTTTAGCTTTCATGGTTGTTGACAGACACCATGGGGGAGATTTACTAAAACTGGTGCACACAGAATATGGTGCAGTTGTGCATATTAACCACTTGCCCTCCAGAGGATTTACCCCCCTTCCTGACCAGGCCATTTTGTTTGTTACGGCACTGCATTACTTTAATGGACAATTGCGCAGTCATGCAACACTGCACCCAAATTAAATTTACTTCTTTTTTTTCCCCACGAATAGAGCTTTCTTTCGGTGGTATTTGATTGCCTGTGTGCTTTTTATTTTTTCAACTATAAAAAAAAGACCAACAATTTTGAGAAAAAAAAACTATATTTTTGACTTTTTGCTATTAAACATGTCCACTAAAATTAAAAAAATCAAAATTCGTCATAAATGTAGGTCAAAATGTATTCTGCTACGTCTTTGCTAAAATAAATAAATCCCAATACATGTAAATTAATTGGTTTACATGAAAGTTATAGCCTTTACAAATGGCGGTATATATACTGGGCTTTTATTTTTTATTTTTACTAGTATTGGTGGCGATCAGCGACTTATAGCAGGACTGTGGGACTGCAATGGACATTCTGACACTGGGGTAAACTGACTTGGTGTCACTGATATTGCCAGTGACACCAATACAGTGATCAGTGCTAATAAAAAGAAGTGACACTGTACTAATGGCACTGGGCAGGAAGGGGTTAACATGTGGGGCAATCAAAGGGTTAACTGTGTGCTGTATGCTGTTTATAACTGTGTACTGTGTTTGTGCTTCACTGTAAGCAAACTGTATTTATGTACTTTTAAATTTTTTTTTATATACTGTCACCATAGCAATACAGTGTTACCATAGTGGCACTGTACTACTTGTGGGGGGTAATAAAGATTTTATTTTTTACTCAAAGGTTGTAAATGCAATCATTTTCCTTCTTCTCTGGCTGCATTCGTGCAGCCACTGAGAAATACTGTGACAGCTGTAATTTGTCACAGCTGATTACATGGTACAAGGCTGTTGTGAATGCCCTTGTACCATGTGACCTCTGTGATCATTCATAAAATTCACAAGTAGTAAACAATGATGTCAGGAAGTGATATCTTGTTTACTACTCTTCATGTGATCACTGATTGGCCAATCACTGATCACATGAACCTGGACCTCACACAGCAGTCCTGTACAGTGATCTGTGTTCTTCTGTGTCCAGTGGACACAGCGGGTACAGATTGCGGCTCTGCGCACTCCTAGGGAGCTCGTACAGGCAATGGATGTGGGGGGATGTTTAGAAAACTCCCCCCGCATCGGCAATGCTCCCATCTGGCCATTTATCGGCATGGGCCAGACTGGAAGAGGTTAACCAATCAGTTTCTAATTTGAGCTTGTTCAGTTTACCTGAAAACCTAGAAGGTGATTGGTTACTATGCACATTTGTACCAGATTCTGTGTGCAGCAGTTTTAGTAATCTCTCCCCTATTGTTTACAGAACTTAATAGCTCATGTTAAAAATATATCAAAGAGGGCAACACTTCTAACAGCTCATTCTGAGGTTTCATTCAGGCACATTCTGCCACAAGGCAAGATGCTTCCAATATGCAGTCTATTCAGCTAACACATAGTGTTCAGTGAATTCTCTTCCCAAAGTGCTTCTGTACAGGAATTACAGGACACTAACAGAGTCGGATTCCAGTACTTACCTGAGTATGTAACAACACATTAAATAATGACTTCATTAATAATTATATAACTGTATTAAAGGATTTTTCTTTTGGTATACGTGCTTCAGATACACTGTCCCTGAATCTCCCCCTAATAAAATTTTTTGCAAATCCATCTTTTAGCAAGACTTAATTTATACATCTTTGAGCCTTTTCCAAAAGATTCTAAAACAAGTTTTCAGTAATTATATGTCTTCTGGCTGTCTGAACAATTTTTAAAAAGTATTCTTATCAGAAAGCACTATTTTTGGAAATCAGAAATATACTTTGTTTCATCCCTAATGATTTTCTTCTTGAATAAATTATTCCCTAGGTTGCCAGGGCTGAAGTGGGCATATTTCGCCAGCTCTTTTTCATTGCTTCTAAAGCTAAATTACTTTTTCTTTCTTGAATACATTTTTGATTTCTGCATTATTCCTCCATTTTGTCTTATACTGGTTTTTTTCTTGCACCCCAGGCAATGATGAAGCGACACTGGGATAGAATTTCACAACTTACTGGTCACAGTTTTGATGTGGAGTCGGAAAGTTTTTCCTTGAAGAACATAATGGAAGCCTCGCTTCTGAAATATAAAGAAGATATTGAGGTAAAGCATTGTAAAAATGGAATAAAGGACATTACCGAACACAACATTGATTTCATTTAATTATTCACATCATTCTAGTCAGATTTTACGGGACCCCTACTTGTAGGGTCTTTGCTCCATGTTCATGGCACACTGACAATATGTAGAATGTCATCCTTCACTGTAAATAAGTAACCTCCCCATTTGTTCATAAATTATTTATTTATTTATTACAGGTACTTATATAGCGCTGTCAATTTACACAGTGTTTTTACATATATACAGTATATATTGTACATTCACATCAGTCCCTAAACCTCAAGGAGCGTACAGTCTAAAGTCCCTAACTTACATTCATACATATACTAGGGCCAATTTAGACAGGATCCAATCAACCTACTAGAATGTCTTTGGAGTGTGGGAGGAAAGCGGAGTACCTGGAGTAAACCCACGCAGGCACAGGGAGAACATGCAAACTCCAGGCAGGAGGTGCCATAGTTGGGATCAGGGGCAGACTGACCATTTGGAAACTCGGGCACTGCCCAAGGGCCCAGGGTCAGTAGGGGGCCCCATGAGATGCCCCTGGTACCTTTTTCATAGGCTTTTTTGAGTTTGGGCAAGGACACAGGGGCCCCATGATCCCCTATTGCCCAGGGGGCCCCATGAGTTGTCAGTCCGCCCCTGGTTGGGATTCAATCAACGACCCTAATACTGCCAGATGGAAGTGCTAACCATTTAGCCACCCTCCACTGTGTATATGAAGATGCCATCAGTGCGCTTTACACTACCTTACATTGTAAAAATGTTTAAACCACTGCACCACCTCAGAATCAATATACACAAGTGCAGTGTAGAGAAAACTGAGGGTTACATAATTCCCAAAATCCACATTTGTAGTGCATGTGTGCAGAAAAGCAATAGTAACGGTAAAAAAAAAAAAAAAAAGGAAAAAACAGCGCAAACATAGACCTTTACATGAAATCAATATTACAAAGTGCAAACATAAGTGAAAAATTGATCAGTGGTAAAGTCCATCAAAATAAACCAAAGTTCAAAAAATATTAGTGCAAAAAAGAAAAAGAAAAAAAAGAAAAAATATTTTCAAATTCTTCTTCTAATATAGAGGAACTTCCACCTTCCACCCGTGAAAACCAATATCAAATGCACTCACCAGATAAAGGTGAAAAAAACGCCTCTTAGGAATTTTATGGGATCCTACACCCTCTTTCGTATCCACTCTATAGGAATCCTCCTCTCCACCATAGGCTCCACCATCCGACCAGGGAGAAAAAAATCTCAGATAGTGTAATATTGTAAGACACCATTCATAAGTGAAATCAAGGATTAAGGTCACTCACATTCAATTCAATTTAAAAAGGCATATTTATTAGGATCAGCTTCTTCCAGATAAACAGTAGATGCAAGGCAACCTCCCACGGAATCTCACATCACAGCTCCAGGTTTCAGCAGAAGCTCTACAGAGACACCGCATATACAAATCCCAAAAGATGGCCGCTGGAACGCACCGCTCAGCGTGCGCTCCACTCACCGGAAGTGACGTCAGACGTACGGAGTACAAACCGGAAATGCGTCAACGCGTTTCGCCCCTCCCATCGGGCGTTCTCAAGACGTTCATTTCCTGTCTGAAGCTCCCTTATATACCCAGCAGAGACCCACCCCTCCGTTTCAATTGGTCAAAACTCTTCCCCGGGATGATCAAACAAAACACTCCTCCTGTAACATGACGTGAGAGTCCCTTACAGATGAGGTAAATGCCTATACAATTAGAAATCTTTTTTCATGTTATTCCTGACACTATTAAATTATCTCCCAGAAGCGACATGTATATTACCACATGTCCCCAGTGGGAAAAACACGAACAAAGTATTAAACAATGCCTCACTATTACAAAAAACTTTCTTTAATATATGAGCAATGAATACTAAATAGTATAAAATGAAAATAAATATGAATGTAATGAAAATAAAAAATATAAAATATAAGATGAAAATAAAAATGAAAATAAAAATAAAAATAAAAATAAATAAAAAATAAAAATAAAATAAAAAACAAATATAGATAAAAAAAAATAAAAATAAAAAAAAAAATAAAAAAAAATAAAATTAAAATAAATATAAAAATAAAAAATAAATAAAAAATAAAAATAAATGTAAAAAAAAAATAAAATTTTTTTAATGAAAAATAAAAATAAAAATAGAAAGAAAAATAAAAATAAAAATAAAAATAAAAAATGAATGAAATAAAAATAAAAATAAAACTCAAAATAATATGTGAAATAAAATAAAAAATATATATATAAAAAAAAAAATAAATAAAATATAAATAAAATTAAAAATAAAAATAAAAAAAAAATAAACCAATAACAAAAATAATAAAAAAAATTAAAAAATGCAATAGCATTGCAATGTGTAAAAAAAACTATTAATAAGACACCTGAGGAATTTTTAATGGAAATAGTCTATGCTCTTACCAATTAGACAAAAAACATTAATGTCTATGTCAGAATTCAACCCTTTGGGGTACAAAGATCCTAATTGAAAGATCCATTTTGTTTCATTCTGCGAGATACTCTTGACCATATCTCCCCCCCTCCAATGGGAAACGATCCGATCAATCCCGCAGAATTTCAAACACGATGGATCCCTATTATGACACATTCTGAAATGATAGGAAAGACTGTGATGTTTATATCCTTTTTTAATATTTCTAATGTGTTCACCTAATCTCACCGACAATTTCCTAGACGTTCTACCTACATATTGCAGATGACAAGAGCACTCCAACACATACGTAACACAAAGGAACTGTCACAAGTTATAAAATTATTTATTTTATAAGAGGAACCCGTAGAACAAGAATGAAACGAATCATATCTCCTCTTAGTATCTCCTCTCATATTTCTACATGCCATACACCTTTTACATTTATAAAATCCCACAGTATCCAAAAAAGTTGCCTTTTTCTTCGGAATATCTGGGATATTTTTTGCTAACTTCATTCTCAATGTGGGTGGTTTTCTGTAAATGAATGAAGGTTTCTCAGGTATTAAATCATGGAGAACATCATCCCTCTTCAGAATCGACCAGTGTTTTCTTATAATATTTTCAATAACCTTATGTTGATTAGAGTAACCCGTGATAAAAGCCAGTTCACCTACTTTCTTCTTGTTCTTTCTATTTATTAATAATTCATCTCTATTAATCCTCCTCACTTGATCCATTGCACCTGTTAGAATATTTTCTTCATAGCCTTTTTCTCTAAACCTTTCCAACAACATATTTGCTTGCTCTTGAAATATCTTATCTTTGGTACCAAAAGCACCTGTTACACCTGTTATATACCAACTACCCAAGATACATAAAAGTTTATTAAAACCCCCTGGAAGACCCATTGTCAATGGGATTGACTCACTTTTTTCGAGACTAGGGGAATATGTGGATGAATTCCTACAACCTCTGGTATCAGGTTTTCCATCTTACCTTAAGGATAGTGGAGATTTGATCTCAGTTTTGAAAAAAATAAGGATTAAAGAGAACTGTGTTTTGGCCAGTGTTGATGTGAATGCACTATACACCAACATTAGACATGAGGATGCTTTAACAGCGGTGAGATGGGCATTGGAGAAAAAATCGGGTTTAAAAGGTGATCAAATTGATTTTTTGCTAGATTGTCTTGACCTAGCAATGTCAAATAACTATTTTTGGCATTCCAACAATTATTATAGGCAGTGCACTGGAGTCGCGATGGGAGCGAAATATGCTCCATCAGTAGCAAACCTTTTTATGAGTATGTGGGAAGATAAAGCTATATTTGGAAAGATGAATGAGAAATTACTACTTTTTAGAAGGTTTATAGATGACATCGTGATAATTTTGGAAGGGAACCAGGAATGGTTTAGAGGAGTACATCCGTGGAATGGGAGTGTAATCCTTATAACATCACATTCACTAACCATATCGGTATGGAATCTATAGACTTTCTTGATTTAGTCATCTATAGACAGGGGGACTATCTTCACACAAAAACATATTTTTAAACAAGTGGATAGGAATGCTTACATCCCAATCCACAGTTGCCACCATAGAAATTGGTTGAGGTCCATTCCTAAAAGCCAATTGATTAGACTCAAGCGGAACTGTGATGACAATAAGATATTTCAAGAGCAAGCAAATATGTTGTTGGAAAGGTTTAGAGAAAAAGGCTATGAAGAAAATATTCTAACAGGTGCAATGGATCAAGTGAGGAGGATTAATAGAGATGAATTATTAATAAATAGAAAGAACAAGAAGAAAGTAGGTGAACTGGCTTTTATCACGGGTTACTCTAATCAACATAAGGTTATTGAAAATATTATAAGAAAACACTGGTCGATTCTGAAGAGGGATGATGTTCTCCATGATTTAATACCTGAGAAACCTTCATTCATTTACAGAAAACCACCCACATTGAGAATGAAGTTAGCAAAAAATATCCCAGATATTCCGAAGAAAAAGGCAACTTTTTTTGGATACTGTGGGTTTTTATAAATGTAAAAGGTGTATGGCATGTAGAAATATGAGAGGAGATACTAAGAGGAGATATGATTCGTTTCATTCTTGTTCTACGGGTTCCTCTTATAAAATAAATAATTTTATAACTTGTGACAGTTCCTTTGTTACGTATGTGTTGGAGTGCTCTTGTCATCTGCAATACGTAGGTAGAACGTCTAGGAAATTGTCGGTGAGATTAGGTGAACACATTAGAAAATTAAAAAAGGATATAAACATCACAGTCTTTCCTATCATTTCAGAATGTGTCATAATAGGATCCATCGTGTTTGAAATTCTGCGGGATTGATCGGATCGTTTTCCCATTGGAGGGGGGGAGATATGGTCAAGAGTATCTCGCAGAATGAAACAAAATGGATCTTTCAATTAGGATCTTTGTACCCCAAAGGGTTGAATTCTGACATAGACATTAATTGTTTTTTGTCTATTTGGTAAGAGCATAGACTATTTCCA